GTATTTTTGAAGGATCTGACACAGGTGCCGCAACATTTTTAGAGAGTCTGAGCAACTTAGCTTTTATTAGAAAGTTTTGAGGTCTATTTCACACTTGCCAGCTAATTATTATAGATGTGCAATATATAAATTGATTGTATCTATTTTCTTTTTCATAGAAAATATTATTCATTGATTCTTAATACTCGCGAAAATATACTGTTATAGATGTGCAATATGTGGATTGATTGTATCTATTTTCTTTTTCATAGAAGATATTACTCATTGATTCTTGTTTCATAAAAAATTAATTGATTGTACGCCATTTTTGGTGGACAAGATTCTAGGCTAGGACCTCCAATCAGGGCAATAGTACAACTATTTGTTTGTATTCTACATTCATTAATTTGATAAATATTAAAGTTTGCAGTATACTTTTCATTAATGCTTCCTTTACGACAATTTTAGGATCCTCTTTCTGTTGATAATTGCTTATAAAGAACCAGAAAAGTAATACACACACATATCCAAATACATAAGTGGCCCCTTAAAGTAGTCCTAATTTTCTTATTCTATCGTTATATCTAGCTTGTGAAACTGACTATTGTTCCTTGTATACTTTTCTCTTTGTTCAACTATGTACAGCAATCGCGCTGCAGCATTTTTGCATCTGGTTAAACTTAGCAAAGCACTTGCTGATGCCGAGATGACGATCAATCTGAAACCAGAGTGGGAAAAGGTATGCTCCAGAATATGCGTGTACTTCTTGTTATCAGAGCAAAGATTTTCTGCTTGTAAAATTACTCAACTGTACATGTAGGGTTATTTCAGGAAAGGATGCATACTAGAGGCTATGGAACGATACGAGGATGTATGTATAAATGTTTCCTCTTATTTATTGGATAACTTTCTTATGTTCTGGTTTTAATATATGTTATTGTGATGTAGGCCTTGGCTGCTTTCCGGATTGCATCAAAATACAACCCTCAAAGTTCGGAAGTATCCAAGAAGATAAAGACACTTACGCAGTTGGCTAAAGATAAGAAGCGCACTGAAGAACTGGAGAACATGAGAACCAATATTGACATGGCAAAACATTTTCATGCGTTGAAATCTGAACTGGTCAGTGTCTTCTGAATATATTTCGAGAGACATATCTGTATTGAAATGTTAATGTATTTGGTCGTCCCTGGAGCTTTAATTTTGTTTTCTCTATGATTGTGGGTTCAATTTTTAATATGGTTTTGGTCAGTAGTACTTTTTATTCATGCAAACTGTGAAATATAACATATCTCCTCATGTAGGTAAGATACTTGTTGCATCACCAGCTGTGTGATATAGCCCTAAATCTAATTTCTGGAAAATGTCTTTCCAGGAAGTTCCCGCATGAGATGTACTAAGCTTGATCCTCCTTTTGCAGTCTGAAAAATATGGAGCTGAAGATGGCTGGAAAGAGTTTTTCTCATTCCATGTTGAAACAGTAGAGGGTGCAGTTAAGTCATGGCATGAAACTTCAAAAGTGGATCCTAGAGTTTATTTCCTTCTGAACAAGGAGAAGACAGACACGGAAAAGTACGCTCCAGCTGTTAATATAGATAAGGTGTTACAACTACTTCCAAAAATTCTCCTCATGCATTTTCCCATGGATTTCAGCCTTCTTCCTATATGTCTGAATTGAATTTGTGAGTTATAGGTACATTGTCAACTGCAGTTGGATATAACATATACTATCTAATTGTGTACTTTTATTCATGTGCTAGGCTTTTGAGTCACCCCATACGCACAGCAATTGTTTTGCATTTCTTCGACAGTATGCTGAAGATTCTTTCGCTCAAGCTGCGTGTTTAGTGACACCAAAAAGTATCATATCTTATCCACAGGTAAATTCAATCACTGAATACTCTTCCAGAAGAGCCCCCCCCCCCAAAAAAAACCACACACACACACACACACAAATAGAAAAAGATTAAAGTTTTTGCTTTCTTTCAACTCACTTTCTTCAATTTGTGATAAAAACACGAAAGTCGCATACAGATTTTGAGATTCTGCATTCAAGAGTCAATATTGTTTCTAAGAACACAGATAACCTCTTTAAGCAGTTTTTCATATGGATTCACACACTGTTAGCTGTATACAAATTAGTCTAGACACCATAATTATTAAAACAAGAGGTTATTAGCTTAATCTTATTCCAAATTAACCAATATTTGATCTCTGTGTATCTATAAGAAGCATAATAGGCTGTTAGAACTTAGAAGTCTTATCATGTGAAGATAATAATCTGTTAGTGACTATATTTGTGTCAACTGAAGGGGAACCTTGGAGCAATAGTAAAGTTGTCTTCGTGTGACCTAGTCACGGGTTTGAGCCGGGGAAGCAGCCATTAAGGCTTGCATCGGGGAAGGTGTATACATCATATCCCTTGGGGTTCGGCCCTTTCTTGGACCCTGCCGACGCGGGATGGTTCGTGCTCCGGGCTGCCTTTTACTGTAATTGTGTCATCTGATTTGTCTATGCTCTATGAATACTGGAGTTGGTTCTATACTCCCATTCTACAACTTAATCTGATTAAAATGCCCTGACCTTTGTAGGTTTGCATTTTAATTCAATTAGCATCGATACTTGTAGATTTGCATTTAATTTGTACTTTGTTCTATTAGCATCGTAGTAAGTCACGATCAAAGCAAAGAAAAAGATGCCAAAAATGATTCACTTTAGCTTTTAGCTCACTTAGCTTGGTTCAGACAAACACAAGCCAAAGGAAGTTGAAATCAAGGATGAACTTGACTTGTATCTTTGGTAGAGTGGTAATGGTGATCTTGACCATTGATGGTTTAGTATCATGTTAGTGTCTGGTGTGAATCAAAGACAGCATTGTTTTTATATATGCAGTTTTTGCAATTGATCTATTCTTTGACGATTTTTGACCCTCACTGATGTGATCTGTCAGGTTTGGAAAGGTCAAGGATCAAGAAAGTGGAAGCATGGTCAAAATGATGGAATTTTCGTCCAATTTGAATCTCCTCTAGTGCGGAAGTTGTGGTTTATCCCTAGCTCCACTGAGAAAGGCAAAACATTATGCAGGTCTGTTCCCTTTGTCTTAGCAATAACACAGCTTACACAGAAAGTGATTTTTTTTGGATGTCACAGGCATGCATTTGTGTATGCACCTTATCTATTTTAATAAAATGCATTACAAATGCAATTATTTGCTTTAATGGATAAAATACATAGCATATTTGAACGTGTGACTTCGATATACGTCTCAAGCATACCAGCTTTTATCAAATGCAAAAGGATAATAGCTTATGATTTTTATGGTCATGTACATCAAGTATGGGCTAATCTCTTGACACGTAAGAAATTAGATAAAACAAATGCACAATTCAACTGAATGTGCATTTCTTGATTTCCTTTCACCTGTTGCCTGCAAACATCTGTTTAACTTGGGGAACCATCCTTTGAACTTTTCCATATTTCTTTCGCCACTTGGTGGCTGAGGATTTCAACTTTATACATGAGTTGAGGAAGTTAATGCTTTTGAAGACATTTAATCTTTTGCTTCGTGTGCAGGAAGCACATTTTCAATTAGGACTTGTTAAATATAGTATCCAGGTTTAAAACAAACTGTGGAAAATATGTACAAGTGGCAGCATCTTCTTTCCATGAAGAAATTAACAGATAATATCATTTTGAGTAATTAGATCTTTTAGCATAATTGTGCTTGGCAAACAATTAGAGCTGATTGTATGTTATTTAAGTACACATACTTAATTTTCTAAAGGAATGTACGCAAGTATGGCAATTCAATTTGAGGCATCATTTCCTTCTTCCTGTACTTGGTGATGACCCTGGATTAACCAACCCCATCTTTAATTTTCAGGGATCCAGTGGCTTTGGATATTAGTGCACATGAAATCCTCCCGCGTGTATTCAAGCAAGAATAGTTGAGATAGATGCAGTTCCATATCTTGGGTTAGCTCTTTGTGGGATTGTGTTGGGGAGAAAATGGGCCTGTTAACTACGATGAAAAGCACGAACGGTACATCACATATTTTTATTGGATTTGCGCAACATGTAGGATGCTGTCAAACTCCCACAGTTCTCTCATATTGGTGAGGTAGGTTACGTTAGCTGTCAAGATATCAAAATCCTTTGAAGTTTTCCTATAGTAAATTAGAATTTCCGGGTGTCCCGTAACCCTCTGTATTTTCATTTTACTTTCACTCTGTTGTTGGCTGTTTTGATCTGGCAGTGAGTTTTCTTAGAAGTCATTTTTTCAATCGTTTTCGGATTGGAACTCTTGTAAATTTGCGCGGCTAGAAGCAATGTTGCTGTTTTTACCTTGACTTCTCTCTACCTGAAAGTATATTGGAGTTTGTTTTGCAATTTTCATCACTGTTATCCACTCCCTTTTTAACTTGCCCTTTGTTGGATGTATTTTTGGCATCTCATATCTTAGTATATATATTTGGTTCAACTTTTGTGTATACTTCTATTCCCTAGTAGAAAAGTTTTCTTTAGTTTACTCCAAGTGCTTCACACCCCTGGAGCAACGATAAACTTATCTCCTCGTAACCTATAGGTTACGTGTTCAAATCATGCAATCAAACGCCAATGGTTGCGTCAGGGAAGACTGCTTATGTTACACCCCTTTTGTGGTGTGATCATTTCCCAAACCCTATGACGGGATGTTTTGTCTGCTAGTGTTTGTGCACAACCCTTGACTATACTACTTCATAGTTCGTTCGGTGGAAAATTTGATTGATCAAAATTTTTTCAAAAAATATCTTTTTCCTACAAATTAATAGCGTCCATCCCACCCTTCAACACACATCATCTTCACTTCCACTCCTGAGCTCGCTGCTGCCATCACATCCTTATCCTTTATCCTCACCTCTTATTGTATCATCAGATTATATACAAACGCTTTTAGGATAATATTTTTTTTTTACGAACAAAATAAAATATTTTTGTTGGAAACATCTTCGCAAGAGAAGTACTATAGTAGAGCACTGAGATAATAAAGTAACTTCCAATAACTTAAAACACATGAAATCTTACAAAATTGCATTTTAGGGTAAATAAACAAGCTACTTATATGTTTCACTTAGTGAAACTGTAAAAGTAAAATTACTTAATACTAATACACTTGGATTATTTTAATGACCATCATTAATCTGATTAATCATTTATACACTATCATCTGGAGTTACTGAAGAATCAATTCTCTTTGATTGGAACTTGCAATTATGAAGAATATAATTGCATGCATTTACTGCTTCACCAATTGTTAAATAAATCCATTCTTTCCCAATCTTGTCTATGTAATTGGATTTGTCCAACTTCTTCATCACTTCCCCACCAGGATTTGCCAATAAAACCTAAACCAGTAACGGAGTCAGAATTATTACTACGAAAATTAAAAAAATATACAATATAATTTTTCGATCGAAAGAAATGTATATTTCTAGTTTGTACCTTAAGGCATCGTCTATCTGCATTTCTTTTCACTTCCTCAAGCATACTAATTCCACTTGTATCAATGTTTCCAACAGCTACATTAATAGAATTAATGTCACCACAAAAATTGATTAAAAAAAAATCAAATTAACATTTAATAATAACAATCTTTTTTAATCTTCAATTAACACTAATTAATTAATTACCACTCATATCCAATATGACATATTGTAGCTCAATTTCTGTTGATGTCCTTTGCTTTTCCTCTTCTTCATCTATCCATCTTGATATCCTAAAGATATTAACTCCAACAACCCATAGTTAAGTAACTAGCACGTTATAATACAGAATAAAATTCATCAGTAAAACTTTGAAACTCCACGATAATAACTATTTTTTTTTTTAAGAAATAAAGTAAAAGTGATCAGTGAACGTTATTTCTCCGTTATCGTTACCTTTCCCTTAAATAACTTGCATTAGCAAAATAAATTGGGGAATCAATGTGTATGATGAGAACTCCTGGAACACTGCTTGCTGTTGAATATTGTTCAATATTTCTATATGTCATTGAATTAGGTATTTTACCTAAAACAAATGTTTTAGGCCTTGCTACAAATAAAAGTATCCTAAGTAATGACATTGCCACCTAAGTCACACATTAAAAAAAAAACATAGTTAACATTAGTGTAAACTCAATTTTTCGATGTATCGTCTTAATCAGGTAACTTAAAAGATAATTACTTACCGCGACTATGAGGCCAACTTCAACGCTACCAAAGACTACTCCAATATATGAGCTAATACACACGAAGAAATCGTATTTATCAACTTTCCATAATTGGATAGCAGAATTATAGTCGATTATACCAAGCATAGCTGAAATTATAATGGAGGAAAGAACAACAAGGGGTGTGTAATGAAATAATGGTGTGAGTAACAACAATGTTATCATCACAGCTATTGACATTACTATGTTGGACACTGTTGTTTTACATCCTGCATTGTAATTTACCGCGGTTCGCGAAAATGGTCCTGAAAAAAAAAGAGGGGGAAATTAAGCGAAAAATCGGACTATATACTAAAATTCTTTTATTATGGATATGAATATGTAATTCGATTAATGAAAAAAGTTTAGTTTGCTTATTGCAATTGAAATTTTTTTGGATATTGTTGTTACTCATCTTTAATCAATGAGCTAATATACAACATATAATCAATGTATAATAACTGTATAACTTACGTTATATATATACACTGATTATACACCAACGATACCGTATCCTAGTTAATGAGGGCAATAGGGGAAATTTGTTGATGGGCCTGATTATGGAAATAATTGGGCTTGAATAGTTTGGATTGGGCCTACCTGTGGTTAAGTAACAAGAGGTGCAAGAACCAACAATATTCATAAGCCCAAAAGCAATCATTTCTTTGTTTCCATCAATATCATAGTTTTCAATTATAGCAAAACTCCTTCCAACTGCTATTCCTTCCTGTAAAATTTAAAAATAATAATCTCATTAGACACTAGTTTTAATAAGCTTAAATTACATAAATCACATCATTTTAATTTAAAATTACAATTTATCCCTAATAAGTTTCTAATTACATTAATTCTTTAAAAATTAAAAAACCCAGATACAATAATTAAAGCTCGGATACATAATATGTAGCTTAAATACAATAAATACTGGCTCGAATACATTAAAAAACTAGCTCAGACACATTAATATACATTAATATGTAGCTCAGATACATTAAAAACTAGCTCAGATACATTAATATATAGCTCAGATACATTAAAAAACTAACTTAGATGCATTAATATGTAGCTCGGATACATTAAAAACTAGCTCAAATACATTAAAGAAATAAGGAATTTTAAAGATTATTAAAAATAATAGGAGATAAAAAGTGTGTATTTATGTAATTTGTCCTAATAAAAATAAATAATGCAAATTGGTATTGAACAATTAAAATGTTGTACTATTGTTTTTTTAAGTACCTTTGCGGAAAACATGGGAGTTACAAGTGTGCAACTTTACTAGTTGTATATATCTGTTTTATTTTTAAGATTATAAATATCGATGACATAATTTAGAAATAAAAGTCAACGAATCACCATAGTTGTATACGATAAAATAACAAAGATGACTATGTCATTGTTTTTGTTTCTTCATAGACCTCTGCCCCAAATATCTTTGAATTCGTGATAGAATGAGTCCATGAGACCTAAATTCGATATTTTTAATTGAATATTACGTATACACATATATGAATAGTCACGAATGTAGATCTATTTTAGATTCAAAATTTATAAATTTAAAATTCTGAATTTGAGATCTCGAATTCAGTACTTACCGCCAAGGCGATGATACTGGTGACAACTCCAGTCTTAATGGCAATTGCAAGATACTGTGAGCTAAACGCCAGTTCAGAATATGATGGTGGATTTATCCCCTTTTTCAAGTGCCCAATCTGGCAAAAATTAAATCCAACAAAATTCCAAAAAATTAATTCACTCATTAATTAGCCTCATGTACTATCTTATATTATAAAAAAATTATATATATACCATCACTAAAAAAAAATAATTAATCATCCAAAAGAAACGTACAACATGTGAAAGTCACTAATTCACTTGTCATTAATTATAATTATGCACATGTATATAATATAAAATTTTAACAACAATAAAAAAAATTAAGTGTAATCCAACAAAATAAGATCTGAGGATAAAATATTGTATGTAGACCTATTAGACTGGTTTCAATAGATTTCTCGACTCATGATATATGTATAGAAATGTTTAACAAACCAAAATACAAATAAATACAATATAAATTTAATTAATTTGGAATATGGAGAATTATATTTACCACTTGAACACCATTTTTTTCAGCATGAGTGAAATAAACAAGCACACTTCCCAAAATCACAGATGTTAGAGGTGCCATAGCACTTATCCAGAAGAATTTTGGCTTCATTTTGCTCTGCTCACAAAAATAAGTAAATCCATATAAATATGATAATATAATTAGCAATTATATATAAATCAATAATTTATATATATATATATATATATAAATAAATTATTACTTACAAAATATCTGGTCAGCAAGAGGAAGAAGAGAAAACAGCAACCTAGGACTCCACTTTCCCACCTCCACTGTAGTAAATAATAATAATAATATAAAAACATTTTAGAAACTAAAATAATGTAATACCATAAATTTAATTGGAGGTTGGCAGACGATATAGAGTGGTAAATACTCTTTCATTTTCATTGAAGATCTCAAACGAAGTCGTACATCTCGATATAAGTACAAATAAGTTGGATCGCAAAGCAAATACCAGACATCGAGCGAAAATAATATTACGTACCTGATGGATTTGGGTAAAGATAGAAGTCATTACACTGACAATGTCAGTTTGATGTGTGAAATGAAGGAGGCCAAGTATTCCTTTCAATTGTTGTAAACACACAACAGTGGCTGCTCCACTCATGAATCCCAATATAGTTGCGTGAGATAGAAAATCCACTATAAACCCTAGCCTGTATATATCATCGTGACAAAAATATACGCGTGCGCATGTCAGATAGTATATAGTATATTTTTGAAGAATCAAAAATGAGTTCATGCAACTTAGGTTATGAAATACATGGAATCATATTAGATTTTCTAATAGTAATATATTTTTGGAGAATCAGACACGAATCCATGCAACTTAGGTCTTTGAGTATGTATCACATGGCAATTGTGAGAGGTAGATCCAAATTTTTAGTTGGCTAAAATAAAATTTAAAAGTGCAGTATAGAAACTTTTATCTCAATGTATAGATAAATGTAGAGCACACTTTTATTAGTTAATTATATTCTCAACACGCTTTTCATATACGGATTTGATTCTTTTTTCATGGTTAAGTGGAAATTTTTTCTGATATGAGTGGCGGTGAAATTCGATCTAAGGACATCTACCTACTCTGGTGTCATGTATAAGTAAGTGACCATCTCATCTACTCCTTCTCTCCAAATTTATATGACACCTTTTATGTTTGATCGGAAATCTACGTATGAAATCTTCAATTTTTTTTGAAATGAAATTTATAAATGTGTAAACTACGTAAAAAGTACTATGAGTCACAATAATTAATAATTCAAAATATTTAAAAGATTTATGAAAAATTTACGGTCAAAAATAGACTTGTTTGACTCTTGAAATTCGAAAGATGACATATAAAATAGGACGGAGGAAGTATAATCTTAATCTGTTAGAGAAAACACGCTTTTATCAGTTAATTATATTAAGGGGCTGACCTTAACAAGCCTAAAGAAGCTTGGAAAACTCCAGCAAAGAAAGTAGCAGTAAACACCAATTGAAGATAAAGCTTTGGATTTTCATGAGGATTAACAACTTTGCCAAGCATAGCAGAAATGAGAAGTGATGGAACTGCCACATTCCCAATAGCCAAATGCTTTGAACTTCCCAACATAGCATATATCAATGGTGGCACAAAGCTTGAATCTGCACGTCACATATATTTAAGATCACAAAATTATAAAAAAAAACATTTTAATTAATATATTATACACATTTTCAGTTTAAAATTACAAGATTCAAAAACGTCTCTCGTCCTAGCTTGTCCGAAAATCCAGTCAAACTAAGACACATATTAATGAAATATAGAGAGTAATATTATGTTGTAACTTAGACATCATGTCATGACTAGTAAAGTTATCATAAGTCCATAATTTAAGTAACATTGTCATGTCAACTAAATTTACTTGCATACCTAATCTGATAGTGTAAAATTTTTTTTACGTCAACAGCATATAAGTTTAAATAATTTATATCTTGATGAATGGTCTATCAGTAATAGTCTTTCTATAATTGTACGAGTTAGAAACTTACAAAGTCCAATAACAGGAGGCAAGCTAGCCAAGCCAGCATAGCTAATCCCTTGAGGAACAGCAAGACTAGCAATTGTAATTCCAGCAATAATATCAGCTTTAAACAACTGAAGTGTATAACGAGGAGCCCAATCTAATATTGGTACGAAATATTTAAAACCCAAAGAAATTTTTTTGGAAAGTGGTTGATTTTTGAATTTTCTAAAAGGGTCATCAGGAAATAATGTTTCTTTCACATTAGATTTGAGTGTCTTCAAGAATGGCTTTGGTGGTGGAATTTCAACCCTTTGATAATGATGATGGGAATATTGATCATCAAAATCAGCATTAATACCCATAATTTTATGCTAATTAATGAAAGATTTAAGTGATGATTAATTAAAATCACCAAGAACCTGACTACTTATAATGTGTGAGATTCAATGAGAAAAAAGAGATGATGTAAATGAGAAATTGGTTTTGATTTCTTATGCATATTGAGACTTATAGAGGATGTCTATATATAGAGAGCCAAGAGAAGTTGGAGTGAAGTGGAGTGCCTTTTTCTCTTTTTCAAAACTCTTATTAATCCTTCTATTTCAATTTACGTGACATAATTTTCTTTCTAGCAATCTTTTTATTTTATATTCGTTGTCCACTTTCCCCTTTATGCACACTCTTTGTATATATATAAACAAGAAGGATAGTTTTACTAGAACTTTATAAAAAAAAATTACGTTGTCAGAAAAGAATTAACTATAAGGATAAAATTGAAAAAAAAAACCAATTGTAATTTAATTTTTGTAAATTGATAAGTACTTTTTGAAATAATATATAATAACGCGAATAACTAATATAAAAAAAATTATATATCCAAAAAAGAAAGTCATTTTTTTTATAATTAAAAATAACTGAGCTTCGAAAAAAAATTTCTTTTACTATTAATGAAATAATTTAATTCACATAATTAGACCAAGTCAAGCAATGCCACAAAAAGTGATACCTAAAGAATATTTTTTTTTGGTTACGTATTCTTTTTGTGTGTTTGGGTTCCATACTTTCATTGATAACCTCTCAAAAGAGTTAGGGGATTGACATTGACTAATCTTTGAGCTAACACACAAAGGTGAGAATTTTTTGATGGGACACATACAAACATCTCATCCATGAAATTGATTTGTCACTCTACCAAACAAAAAAAATTCAGAAATAGAATAAAACGCTCTCTAATAAAGATAATTCATTCTATATTGAAAATTTAAATTTGATATTTTTGATAATTCTATTTTATTGAGTGACACGTGTCGATTAGTCAAACGACATAACTAATCACAATCTTATTGGTATTCCAGCTAAGTGTAAGGTCACATTGTCTCTCATTACATGAGGCACCAAATAGATTTTTAGAGCTCAAGGTCTTGTTGCCTACTTCACCATTCAAAAAAAAAAATACTCACGTGGACATGTGTGATTGGTTGATAAAGATCCACATAGGACACGTGGCAGCGTGTTGGGAATTAGGAAGATACAAGAAATTAGGAATTTTATATCAACTTTTTGTCGAATCTTTAATAATATTCGTATGTGATTAAATTGAGCTTAGTTTATTAGTAAAGATGATTTGAACTTTTAACCGGCCAAAAAAGTGTTAATTATAGTGGTCAAACTCTTTTAATTTACTTGTGAATTATATAGTTTGTTTAATAAGGTTTTATACCAACTAAAACCTAACATATGCTGATATTTTTTGTCAAATTATTGAGTACAATATTTTTAACCTAAAGTCAACATGCATGTTTAATTCTGTGATTTTGGTGCAATATTAATGTAAAAGTTGAGTTTTTGCTCTATAATTTTACTATATTCAATTCTCAGAGTACTTATGAGTAAAGATTTATAATAACGGCAGGGTCCATTTCGAGGTTTGTTCCCAATAAGATTTTCTCCATACTCAAAACTCGAACCTGAAACCTCTGGTTAAGGATAAAACATTTACCCCAGTGCACAACAATCCGTGTTGGTCATTTTCACGTATGTAAATAAGAATGATTTCTAATTATTTATATGTAACTTTAAAATCTGTATGGCTATAACTATAACTTTGATCATACAAATGGGGTTCACTTTTAGTTATTTAATCATATGTAGAGATCTTCTGATTATAAGATTCTCAATTGATCCTTATAGTAAGAAAAATAAATTACTATGATTTTTGTCCAAGCAAAACTATATTATAATTGATGAATGTATAGAAAAAGACTAAAAGCAAACTCAGCAACTTGAAAAAGCATTAGCTTACCAATATGTGTGTTTCATGTGCCATCAAGTATTAACCATCTCAGATAAATGTATTTAACAATATAGACAAGAATCAAAATAACTATTAAAAATTACATGCACGTTGAGAAGTTTCATTACAATTTTTATTTGAATAAAAAAAATGGTTAGTGGGATATGTAATAGTAATAATATAGGTTGTAGAGCAATATGTATGTTTGGGATCGTAGCTACATAATAAGTCCTAACTAAATATATCCAAACAAAAACTTCATAATTCACTACTATATAATATAATATTGATGTGAGTGCTTATATATATAGATCATGTCTTCTACATTTTTAATTAGCTATTATTTGCAATAATTATAGCTCTTTTTCTCACTTGTTCCTTTAATTTTGGGGGAGAAATTAAAAAGGACAAGAAAAAATTGTTGGGGGGAAAGTAGTGTGAAACTTCAATAAAAAAAATAAAAAAGGTTGAATCACATGTTGTTCGGATGGCTAGCTGTCACCCTGTTATATTATATATTGTATTGTTAGTTTAAACGTAATATCTTTAATATATTGTTATATCATTTTGAAGTTTATCATATTACATTGTTAAATTTATTTTATATAACAACAAATTAAAGTTTAATTTTATATAATGATTAATTTGGTGTATTGAATTGCTTGCATCATATTATTTCACCTACATATATAATGGAATCAACACCATTCAAGTTGCGCATAAAATCATTTTTGGTTCTCTCTTTAGCGATCCTATAAAAGAATCAGGTTTTATTTTGGGAAAATGCATAAGTATTTCTTCAACTTATGTCTGAAATTCTAAAGACAAACTTATATTATACTAAAGTCCTATTATAACCCTGAACTTATTTAATAAATATTTTTTTATCAATTTCGGTCTACTTGACACTAGTTTGAAAGAAAATGTAAACACGCGCTAGGCCCACAAGATAGTGTCACATAGGCCAAAAAGGGATAGAAAATTATTTATAAATTAAGTTCAAAGGGTAATAGGACCTTAATATAGTATAAATGTGTCCTTTTGGAATTTCGGGCATAGATTAGAGTACTTATGCATTTTCCTTTTAAATGAAGTTACGCTATCTAATCAATTGAACGTTTTTCTAAATTAAAAAAATAAAATAAAAGCACTAGTAAAAATATGGGTAGGGAATCCACTATGATCAATAATGGAGATATTCAATGATATATATTATAAGGTGCAAGAGCACAATAATCACACACAAGACCAACCATGTGGAAGATGCTCATCCAATAAATTCACAACAAAATGTTCTAACTCTGCAATTTCATCACCTTCTACAGTACAAACTCGGAACAAAATTTCTTTTTACCAATTTTATCGCTAATTTCATAGAAAATAAGAAATGTAAAATTAACTGTTTTCAAATTACACATAGTGAGTACCGCATATACGCACACACATATGTCTAAACGCTTTTATTTTTTTAAAAAAAAACAAATATATTAATAATAAAATTGGTATATATATAGTCTTACAAAAGTAGTGTGTCGTCATTTTATTTTTTGCACCTATTGAGTTACCATTAATTTAATTATTGATCAATATTTGTTTGTGGAGTTGTTGAATATTCAGAATATTCTCTTCGATTAAAGTGATTTTTTATGTGGACAGGAAATCAAGTTTATATAGTGTTTGGTTATATAAGCCATGTGGGAGTGTATCGATATAGTTCCATGCACTTAATGTAGTCTCTATTTTTTGTTTCATATTCGGTATTCAGAGTTAATACTAGAGTTTAAAATAAATTTAGATCGCTCGTTGACGATTTATTCTAATATGTGTTTCAATAAAATCTTTTCGTATTTAGGATTCAAATTCGAAATGTCTGATTAAGTGTGAAATAATCTCATCACTACACCACAAACCCATGTTGATAATATAGTTTATTTTTGTTTTGTGGTTGTGAATCATAATGTATTTTCTAGTTTTGGAACTTTATTTTTTTGTGTGTTTTTCCCACTATTTATCCAAAGGCTAAAGTATTCAACAGTTTGTTGAATCATTATGTGTTTTTGGTTAATTATCTTCAATTGAATGGTTGGTAATAGCTATTGGGTCGGGTCTATTCACAAGAGGTATAATTTTTTTCTAATTAAATTTGTTGGAAAAAAGTTATTATGTTGGGTCGATTTATTCATAAGGGGTAAATTAATTGGTCCGTTAGTTCATAAATTTGTTTTTTTAGAAACCATAAATCAATTAATATAATATTTTTCATGCTCCTTTTGTGTAGAAATTTTTTTATTTAATTAAAAAAGCAAGCTAAAATCCACGTTAATTAGACTGAAATTCTCAAATTCATTTAAAGTTTCATCATATTGGAATTTTTAACCAAATTAATTTATTATATAAAATAATTTACCAAAGTAATACATTTTCCTAAAAAATTGGGTGATCAGAATTATAAGTAAACTTAAAAGTGAGAGAATCAAATGTCAATATCATTTAGTGGAAATTGGAATGACGTCAAAGCTTAATTCTATGTAGTCTACCACCCACTGTGATCACAATGCCGAAAGATAGGATTTCAAATCTTTACGAAAAGGATATCAAATAATCGATTTACTATTAAAAATATTAATTCAAAAAAAATATTATTGTGTTGTAACAATAATATTATCTCTTCTATATGTCTGAATTATGTAATAAGATAAAAAAAAGTATTGTTGAGAAAAAGAAAAAATATGTTTTTTCAAAAATAAATTAAAAGAAAAAAATTACATGACGAAAGCCCTAATCCAGCTTATTGGCCGGTAGGTTCGGGATCACGGAAAATTTAATAGTATTTACTTAAATTTTATATATTTATTAAAATATTTAAAACTTATAAACTTTAAATTTTTAATACGATATTTAAGCAAAAAGTTATTAATTCAATGTAAGTCTCGAATTCAGAATTCAGTTCACTCTCCACCATTTAAAGTTCACCAAAATATATAAGAAAGGGACAATCATTATCTTAATTATAACTTGTAAGATTTTAGTGCATGAGTAACATACATCATTTATATTTTGAAAATTTAAACACCTGAAGGAGAATGAGAAAGAAAAAACAAAGTTATTTCTTTTCGTGCTTTTTTTTTTGGTGGTTGATAAACTTGGTATTCTCGGATTGTCAATTAATTAATAATAATTATATAAAAAAGTTATATTTTTTTTTGTTTCAATAAAAAAATTAATTTGTGAGATAATAACTCCTATTTAAATGACGGTATGAAAAATCAACTATGACAAAAATAAGATTGGATTATAATTTATAAAAATATATGGTTGTCTTTCACTCATAAATGTGTGTTGAATTATATATATTTTTTTTTAAAAAAAAAAATATATGTTTACGAGAGATCGATATTGACTAAAATACAAAGAAAATTAACACGAGAAATATAAAGTCTTGATCAGCTAAACCCACAATTGACTCAAAACTTAAACCTTCTTATAATTCTAATTATTTTAGAGTAATATGTTTCTATACCAACAACAATAACAATATATTCGCCCCACAAAATTTCACAAATAAACTTTAGAGAAGGTAGAATATGTAAAAATCTGAAATTTCACAAATATGCTTTAGAGACGGTAGAATATATACGAAACCATTACATCGTGAAGATAGAAATGATGATTTTCAAAAGGCAAATATACACATATCTTACACTGTTACATCGCAACCAAAAGAAATATTATTCCTATAAAAGTAAATAAGAACAAAATATATCTGAGCCCGGGTTCGAACCGGGGACCTCTAGTGGTGTGAGACTAGCGTGATAACCGACTACACCACCCAGACAAGCTATTGTAATTTTGTTGACGATTTATACTGATCACATAATTTATAATGGTGTTTAATATATCTAAGTCTAATAATAATAGCAAAAAGTTAAATATAGTTTTTAATGTCTTAATTTCACTATTCATAAGCATATAATATAATTTCTTTTCTGGTTTCAACTAGTACAAATATTCCGATTCTCATATTTACATATAGTACAAGTTTGGGAAGAATTTAAAAAATAACATTGAATGAGATTTGGCTTCACAAATTTTAGTTTCTTCCCTTATTTGTACCCTATAACACAATTCTATCTTTTATTTAGTCTCTTGGATGTATATTTTCTCAGGTCTAGTCAAATTCTAGCTTTAATTGCCTTGTTACATGCATGTTGCATAATTGATACATGTTTGGTTAATTTAGATGTACAAAATTATTGAACAATGATGGTGAGGCCTGAAAGTGCATAATTTGAAACATCAATACTTCTTACTCTACAAAGCCCAAATAACTATGAGCCCATCTTTTACTTATTTCAATCAGGAAAATACTATCTTTATAACACAAACACTCCTATCATAAATTTTTCATTCCGTTATTTGAAATGATTACATATTATCTTACTAGTTAATGATTTCATATCAATTTCAAGTTAGAGAACTACTCCTACGGAGTTCAAGACAGATACTAAATACATGTATCTTTGATATCTTATACATTCTAAAATACCTATGCATTGGGAGAGAGAGGTGGGCCACGTCTGTATCATTTGATACTAGATACATTCTAAAATCTATATATACTGGGATAGAGACAAGAGAGTGAGGAGAGAGGCGAGAGAGGAGAGAGGCAATTGAGATAATCAGTGTAACTCATATACATATGAATCACGCCTATATATATAGTTTATATGAAACAAATTACACTTAATTTGACTCGCATATAATCAAGATACGTGTATCTGAGTGTGTCAGAATGCATGTATCTGGCAAAATAAATGTAATACGCAGGGTAATTTCAAAAACAAAAGTGAAAGGCACGTAATTAAGGTCTCAACGAATGCATTTGTGTTGTTTCGCTCTCTCAATAAAGCTCGAAGTGCTCTAAAGCCCACTCTATAAGAGTTTAGGGTGAATTACAATAATGACATTGAAAATGAGTGGTTTGAAATTTTTAATTTTGATTGCCCAATGGACAGATAAATTTTGCTCCTTTGACAACGATTTTAACTTTTGATCTTGAAGATTTGTTCGTACGACGATTGGGGTTCATTTGATTCTGATTTTATTTTATGAATATTCTAAAATAATATATTCTCATTTTCGTCAATTATTTCTTTTTTAGACAATTATTTAATATATAATCGTCTCAAACAATTTAAAAATCTCTTAAATAACATATGAAATAAATTTCCAATATACAGTGAAAACCCACATTAATCAAGACCTCAAAATTGATATAGAACACTCAAAGATAAAAAGAAAACTGTCACTTTACCAAAAACACTTGTACGAAAGTAATCAAATTCTTCATAAATTTACATCAAATCATTTAAATTATACTTTCTCGGTCCCTATTTACTTGTCCTTATTTTCTTCTATATCTGTCCATATTTATTTGTCTATTTTAATAAATCAAGAAAGGACAATAATTTTTTTTCTAATTTGTCCTTATTTAATTCTAGAAAATTTGTAGTATTATTAAGTTGTAATGCATGTTTTTTGGAACCAGAAAATACTTTTATTATAGTGGGTGAGTTGCATAATCTTTCAAATTAAGGATAAAATTGTAATATGATAATAATTGGTGCATTAATATGTGTGTCACTTTTATAGTTGACATCTAAATAGGGACAGAGAAAGTATAATATTTTGAATAAAAAGAAATAACCCCATCATGGAAGAAATTAAAAATATTAGTAGTCCAATCTTCATCACACCAAAAAAAAAGTAAATTGAGTATGAACAACTTCTTTCATTACAAACATAAAAAAATACGTTGAAGTAAAATAACAAAAATTAAAATAAAAAAGTAGATTATTAGACAAACAAAATGAACTCTACATACAAAGAACTTCAGTACTAGAAATACAAATTTGTCCAAATTACTTGACATGAAACTGAAGATTGCTCTGCTGATCCATCCTTTGTTAGTACCTATGTTCTTGAACCTGAAATTAAAAAAAAAAAGACTTTATGTTAAAATCATTTTCGGAATTATATACTCTGGATTTAACTTATATACACTGACTGACTGACTGACAAAAGTAGTTGTAGTATTGTACTTACGTCGAAACCAACAAGTGATCTGCAGTAATTAGTGTGAGTAGTAAAGACACTACAATTTGATCCACATTCACTATCATTGATTGAAATATTTGATTTATCAAGCTTGATTGACCAAGGATACTGATAATTTTGAGCTGTTGATCCAACATGTGAAGATGATCTCTGCATTCTCACCGCCCTTGGGACGTTACGTCCTTCTATTGATGGTCTTCGTCTACTTGGTTGTCTCTCAAATGATGTTTGATCAGGACGTTGCTTTGGTGCACTGTGAGATCGCGCTTTAGCTATCGATGATTTAGTATTCGCCATGTAACTTGGATAAAATGGATACTCATTGTAAAGGGATTCAGGTTCTGCATACTCTGAACGAGCATAAGATGAGTATAGGATTCTTGATGGATCAGGTTTTGACATTGTGTTGTTATAGTATTGTGGACTGCTGTGTGTTGTGGGATATGATGTGTAGTCCTCAAAGTGTCCACTATACGCTTTTGGACTTTGTTCTGTTATAGCTGATGGTACTGGAGATATTATGTGTTGATGATGTTCTTGATTTGTATACGCGTTGTGAGTTGAAAATCGATGTTCTGTTCTCTCCGTTTGGCCTTGATTTGAATAGCAATTTCTACTCTTTGTATTGCCTTTTGATTCTCCTAAATCCATTTCCACAATCTTGATGTCCTCTTCATAATCCTAATGGTTCATACAGAAGAATTAGACAAAAGGGTTTTTTTACGAGCCAACTGAGCTACTAAGATTCCTCTTTGTTTAGTGTGTATGATACATTATTGAAACTTTGATGGAAGCAAAATGAAAATGTGAGACATACTTGATAGGAGTGTCGAAATTTGTTGTCCTGAGTAGATTTTCTGTGAACAGATTGTCTTGGATTGTTTGGATTTTCTTCTTCAGTCATTCGTATTCGTTGGGCTCGAGCTCGAGCTTGAACAGTTACTAATGCTTGCATACATCTGAGAGTTGCAGCAGCTTGTTTTCTCACTAAATGTCCTCTTACTAAGGCCTGCAACTTCACTAGTCCTTTTAGTGCATTCAGGGCTTTTCTTGCCTGCATAGATTACCAATGCAACAGTTGGATAAAAATGTAATCTTGGAACATAGATCAGAATGAATTGTGATGATTAAATATAAAATTAGTCGAGTTGATTTTTCAGAAAGTCACTTTTGACTTTCTGAGTTAATGATTGTTAGTTAGTTGAGCGACCATCTGAGTAATCAACTTGAAACTTGCATATATTACCAAATAACCGCGGAAAACTGCTTGAATCTTGGATGCTGCGTCTTCTTCAAGTGCATAGGCTCTAGCAGCAGCAGTGAATTGGATCGCTGCTGCTGCAGCCTTAGCAGCGGCCGCTGCTGCATCAGCAGCCGCGGCCGTTGCAGCTGCCACAGCTAAAACATGCTTCTTGTGGTCATTGTCTGACTCAAGAAGTTCTTGTTTAGCTGTGGTGGTGGCAACGATGTCGGTGCCACTCAAATCCCTCTGACCTGGTGGGGTGGCTGATGACCTCCTGAAACTCCACCTCTTCTTATCTTTAGGAGTTGTTGAAGGAATTGAAATTGGTGTTGTTGGTTGATGTTCATTGCTAGTAATAGAGTTTTGAATCTTCTCACCTTCTAATTTGTCTTTGTCTTTATCTTTATCTTTCTTCCCTATCAACAAGTTCTTAATCCATCTACCTGTTTTCCCCATCCCTTTTTTGACAATCTTTTAAACTAGCAAATGCATTATGAAAAAGAGCAAATGAAGAAATGTTACCAAGTAGATGTATAGATAAATTGAAACAAATGATTTTTTTGGATTTTGGAAGATGTTCTATGTCTATATCTTACTTCAATGAACGATTATCACCTTTGAATACCAGTGTGGCCTTTTTTAATTAAAGCAAGAATTCAATGTACTACCCATCTGTCCCAAAATATAATGCGGATTTAGCTAAAACGACACTGAAATGAATTAAAACGACACTTATTTTGATAGGAAGAGTATCTATGCCTAGGTGTTAACTACTATTGCATTCTATTCTCTATGCTTTGCTGTATTTTACCACTTATATAAAAAGAATAAACTAACATGATCTAGTTATTGTCTTGATTATATATATAAAAAAAATTTGGAGGAATATAGGTCATGTGAAGAAAAGAAATAGCAAGGAAACTACCCTATTGAAGCCAAGTTGTAAACTTGTGGGGAGATAATGGAATTGGATTCTTTACTCATTGGTGGATCATTCTTTTTTTTTTTCTATCACCAACTTTTTACCACTTTTTATAAAATTGTACCCATTATAAGGGGTTTAGATCAGGATAAATTGGTAACTTCAAAATTTATTTATTCACCTTTTCTGATGCCTGTAGTTATTTTATGAAAAGCCCATGTGGAGGGAAAGTCAATGAACATGCAAAATCCTTGTAAAGTACTCCTAGTCAAGATTGGAAGTGTTAGGTGCCACTAGGTTGGGTTGATTGGTGAAGTTGGCTATATTTGAGTTTATTTGTGCACAAATAAGGTATGGTTTATATTTAAAAAAATAATATATATATATATATATATATATTGTGTAGTAGCAGTTAAAAAAATAAATTACACAAGTGATATTATGTTTTTTTTCATCTTATAATGCATCCTATTCCACCTCTATTCGATGACGAAATTGGAATTTTATGCCATCAAATTATAATGACCTAGAACAACAATTGTATAAAATAAGAATATTCTTTTCTTCTATCACCATACATAAATTGACTTCATAATATTTTAAACTTACTTTTCTTTTAATCAGTTTCCGATTACTATATCGAATTTCTTACAAAATTTTCTCGATACTCTCAGAACTACATAATATTTTAATCATGAATTTTGTTATTAAATGGCTAGGGAAGGGGGGTGGGGGTGCATAGGGACCTACATGATTAGGGTATGGACCTCTTGGGAGGGGTGCCCCATGTGTCATCCTTTTCCAGATGTTGGGATTGAATACTACCACTATCATTTTCACCCCATGCCTCATGATCCAAGGTGGGTGTCATTTTTTTCTTTCTTCGGTTTAACTAAGTTTGGATTCACGTTGATAAATTTTACAGTGAAGAATAAAAGGTTTTCTAACAGAGGTGACTTTATATCCATGAAGAATCAAATCTGAGACCTTTTGATTAAGAATAAAGAAGTACTTACCACTCTACCATAACCTTTATCGATAGTTATCACTTTTATATATACTTCAAAACACCATCAAAGTACCCTATTCTATTTAACTATCGTGCTTATTAGGTTTTCTCTTTGCATTTTACTCTCATTATATATATATATAAAAGTATTCTATAAATCACATAAATTGAAAATAGTACAAAGAAATTAATAAAGTCTGAGGGAAGTTTTAATTGAGTAGTTTGATATTTATTATGGTAATATATAGCAGTCGGTGGGCAGACATTTACATTAATGTTTGGAAATAGACTTGTTCAACACAGCGATGGATGACATGAATATATTAGGTGTTCAATTATTTTCTTTCTCCATCTCTTTATTTACGGAACGTTTTATATTATTTGACTCATATTAATTCAATATTATTTAGCTTATGTTGATTCAATAATGCTTAATACTATTTGGTTCATGTTGATTTGATACTATTTTATAAGAAAATTTTAGTTAGTAATGTGCTTTACTAAACTAATTTTATTATAGATATTTAGAAATTTTTATATTTTGCCACTATTACTTTTATGTATTTACTATTTAATATAAAGAATATTATAAGAAAATAATAATACCACTTTGTTAATTTATTAAAATGAATTGAAATACTTTGTTTTTGATATTTAAGTCTTATTAAATTTAGATTTGCATCACAAAATTTCATATTAAGGATAAAACGCTCTTTAATAAAGATGAAGTTTCTGCTTTTTTAGTTATTATTCTCTCATCTATTTTTAATTGTCAAGATTTTCTTTTTTAATTCAAACTATAAGAACTTAGATATCATTTTATGATGCATTTTTTATCATATTAATATATAAAATACTGCAATTTATAGTATTTTTTCTATAGTTTTCAAATATTTAAATTTTTTAATTGAAAATATTAAATTATATAATTTATTTTAATTTTAAAATTTAGTCAAACTGACTTTTAAAAATTATAACATGACAATTAAAAATGAACGAAGAACGTAATTGTAAATCACTTATTCCTTGTCATATTTAATTATAAAATGGAATTTATGAGTAGTACTTTTTACATACGTACTTACTAAGGGTGTCCATATATTTATGTCTTACTCAGAGAAAACTAAATGAGAATTCAATGTCACAATCAGTGTTTCAAAAAATAGTGCGTGAGGTGAGACGTTTTATACGGTATGAAATAAGGCATAAGTCTCGAAATATGAGATGTAAGTTTCATCGATATAAAAACAAATTATTTAATGATTTTACAAATAAATATTTATAAATAACTTATAATATATATATATGAATTATATTATAATTTTTATTTGAGATAAGTATTAATAATTAATAATAAAGTAAAAAAGTAATATCATTACTATTTGAGAAATTTTATTACACCAATAAGTAACTAGGGATGAAGAAATTAAGATAAGTTTAGTCGGATAAAAGAGATATTAGGAGTGGTCATTAATGGATTAGAGGTTGAGTTGGCTTTTTGTTAAAAGTAGTAATTAATTAGTTGGTGCATGAACATTGATTAATAAGGGTCCAACTCCATGAAGACAAATAGCATATGGTTAACATTTGATGTTCCATTAATGGAATATAATTTAGTTAATGATAAGTGATTAATATTAGTTGGCAATCACATGTATTGTTTAATACACTTTCCGTCCGGAATTGTTTGTCATTTTTTTATTTTTAGAGTCAAACTATAAAAATTTTCACTAACATTTTAAGATGTACTTTTTTTATCATATTAATATGTAAAAATTGTAATTTATAGTACTTTTTATGTAATTTTAGAATATCTATTTTTTTGTTTAAAATATCGAATTAATGTGATTTAATTACCTTTAAAAATTAGTCAAATTGACTTTCGACAAGCATAATATGAAAAATAGTTCTGGACGGATGAAGAAACACGTTCCCCTTAACCTCTAATGCGTTTGATTTGATGAAACACTATAGCTATTTCTTGGCATTCTTTCTTTAATTTTTCTTTTTGTGTTTAACCTTTTGACTTGATTAATCTAGGTAAAAAAATTTCATCTTGTTGTAATTTTAGAATATCACAAGTTAATAAGAGAGAGTTGCTCAGATTCGAGTCACAAACAGAGCAATAAGATAAGAGTCTAGAAGAAAAGAAAAAAGTTACAATTACAAATTATATTTAACATTGTGTCTCGCATTACTACTAATTATCTCATACAAAAATCGATCCAAATCTTTCACGATTAGATCTATAAATTATGAATTTCCTGTTTTCTTAAACGAAAAAAATCTCATACAATTAATATCAGTTATATAAAATATATCGTAATAAATATTTTTAAACTCTCGAAGCTACGTGGTGTGAAATTGACAAGTGAAAACTTGAGTTGACTAGAGTCAACTATCTAAATTAAGAAAATTGCAAATTGTGGATTCTTTCTATAGAAAATCATGTGAAAGCCACTTTCATTTATGTACTCCTTTAATTATTTTTTTTTCTTTTTTATGTGGAATATATTTGCTCCAAATATATATTAATTTTTTAAATATCAAGTTTTGATCAGTCAACAAAGCATGAATTACTATAAGATCTTCAATAATATGGCCAATATGGCAAAAAATAAAATATTAACATGAAGTGTATGTATATGATACGTATCAAATCATGTGGGCACCAGTCCATACCCCTTCAGAAACATTCTGTACATTTTGTGTCGTTACATAATTTTTGTTGATTATCTACTAATTGATTAAGGGCAGAGAGAAAAATATTTATCGAAAAATATTTAAATATAATATATCAAGTTATTATCTCTTTTCTAATCCATTAAACATCTAACCCTACTCTCTGTTGATCTTATTATTTTCGTATAATATTTGATTAAATTATATTCAAATATTCATATATGGAAATATTAGAAAATAAGTTAAAAATTAAATTTAATATTTTTTTTCGTATCAAACATATGTAAACGCGTAATTAATAATAGGGAATATATAGATTGATATTCTTGGACTGTTTGGTTATGAACTAATCACATGTATTAAAGTATAAATATATATTTTAAAAAAAACATTTATTTGCTAGTTGCCATTTTAATTTTTGGGCGTGTACGGTGTATAGATAAATAATTAAGCGTTACAAATTATTTGTCTATATTCAGAGTCAATATTATTATTATTGAACACAAAACCACATGCATTTGTTCTTTTGATTGTAACTGTTGTTTGTCTTTTTTTTTTTTGGTCGTTATCTTGAATTAGCTCTATTTATAATCCAAAAAAATCCCACCCCATTAAATTTATTTTTGTCTCTATTTGTGTATATGACAAAGATGTTTAAATCGAGAGATACTAGATTTATTTCTCATCAAATAAAATCACGACATTTTGTTCCCTTTACGTACGTACGTGTTGGTATTGTTTTTATTAATTCGTATTGTGTTAATAGATATACGTTGTTAATGTTAGAAATTTTGAATTTAAAATTTATGAATTTCAAATTATTGATCCAGCCATGCTAACAATTTTATGAGAAAGAATACGAAAGACAAGTCCACCTTGGGGCGGGGTGTATCGTATTAAGTAAGAATTTAGATGAATTTAATTATGTGAATAAGAAATAATTGTATGTTATAGCTCTGTTTGGTATGGATCATCAGATTTGTATAAATTGCAAATAGATATCTCATTTTTATAAAATTCGAATGATTATATATGTATATCGATTAGATAATTGTATAAATGTAACAATGATTGTGTTTGTATATCTGCATAGAATTTAAATTTGTATACAATTGAATCGAAATAAAATATTTGTATGTCAAATTTCTCTTTCTGTCTACATTGTAATTTGTGTAATTTATTGTTGTATAAAGCGAGAAAGAGAGAAATGCAAAAGAGAACTGGTTGGGGGAGATTTGTTTTTGTATAATTATAAATATATACGACGAAAATATATTATTTGTGTTTGTATCTACAATTTTCCCTCACTTTATACAAAT